AAACCAGTGTTTATATTCTTTTATATTTCCTGTAAATGATTTTGTTCCATAGTTTCCTATTTTCTTTTCTTGTAACATACTACAATGCCTCATTCCCCAAAATATACTGATAGACAGTGCTACACTATGGTGCAAATTAAATAGTATTATGATAAGAATGATAATTATATGAATGAAACAATGCCAGAAATACTCATATACAGTCTTGATGCCTGAAAGGCTAACCCTAAACCTGACACACACACACAATTCTTAAAAAAGACTGCAAAAATGGATGTTTGAGGGCTATACAATGAAACCAAACTTACCCTAAGACCAGCAGCAGGAGATCTGATGAGGCTCAGGCCCTTCCTGACTTCGACAATATCAGCAACACGCTGATATTGTACACTCTTCATGAGACGATCCATCACAAATTTGCCTTCACGCTTCGTCCTGATCTTTGTTATCTTCTTCATGGCTTCCACTGTTGAGAGGTAAATACACTATACTTTTTAGGCAATAGATTAAAAAATCGTACTAATTTTATCATATTTTACATACTCTGACCTGAGAAACTTTTATAGCAGGAAAGGGCTTAAAATGACAAAATAAGCTCTAAAATGACTTTTTTGAATACCTCCTGGAATGTAAACTTATCCAGATTCACCATTTTAAAAAATAATTAAATCAAATAAATAAAAACACACACACCTTACTCTCAACATACTGGCTATCACCCACCGAGGTAGGGTGACCAGAAAAAGAAGGAACACTTTCGCCATCAGCCACAACATTTCCATCCTGCTAGAGGCACATTGACATTACAGCTCAGATGCTCCTCCAGACTGCAATATCTTCGCCCCTCCTTTAGAGTACAGGCACTGAACTTTACACCTCCAGGACTCGCACCCCAACAGCACGTCAAGTCATAAAAACCACTTGCCTCCACTCTCTCCTATTTAACACGCTCACATACACACCTGTTGGATGTCCAAGCCCCTCGTATACAAAACTTTTGCCCTCTCCCTCCAGCCTTTTTTAAAATGACTTCTACCCCTCCTTACCTCCATTACAGATTTATACACCCTCCAAGCCATCCTATTTTGCTCCATCCTCTCAATGTCCAAACCACCTCAATAACACCTCCTCAACCTTTTGGATAATACTTTTAGTAATCCTGCACCTCCTCCTAATCTCCAAACTACAAATTCTCTACATAATAGTTACACCACATTGCCCTCAGACACGATATTTGACAATGCTTCAGTTAAAACATTACACCTACCTTCCGACTTACGACCTGCTCGACATACGACCACTCGACTTACGACCATGTTTTGTATGCCAAATTTCTGGGAAATAAACAACTGTTTGTGTTGTACAGTGTTTATCCTAAAACTTACAGTGTAAAATACAGTACTAACAACATAAAAAGTAAAAAATTAAATAAAAAATAAAACAAAATAAAATCGTTACAAAAATGTGATGTTGATATTCAGTAGTAAGGTTCGACTTGCGTCCATTTTGACTTACAACCGGTTGGTCAGAACCAAGCTTGATCATAAGTTGGATGGTACCTATATTTACTTTCCAATAGGGCAATCAAGGATGGAATATGCATTTTATCTGATCTTTTAAACTACTGTTGCCTGTCTCCTCCTGCATTCTTTCCCTTGACTCCATTTCCTCACTGTAGTTAAACCGAATGACAGTTTAGCCAAAAGGGGCTTTTCAGTTATTAAAACTAATGATGAAGCTTGAGAACCAATTTACTCAACTGTAATGCACAGTTGAACCCAGTAGTTCAGGAGAATTAGGTTCCTTGGAAATGACAAATATGGAAATTGTGGCCAGGGATAGCACGCAAAAAAATGAAGGGGGAAGGGGGTGAAGATCATGAATATAAGAAATGCAAATTAAGGAAGGTCAATTGAACAATTATCTATTACAAGTGATATATTTAATGTCCAGCACATAATCTAAAATTTCCCATAAAATAAAAAAGCATGCTGTACTGTATGTATAAATTTACTATAATTAGAAATAATAATAAAAACAAAAATTAAATATTTATCTGAAATACTACATCAAAAAACAAAAATTCTATTTTAAACTGAAGTAGTTCTGCAGTATCCTTTTTACTGAATACCACATACTGCATAATGTGGGGTCATAATGTGTGTACAGTATCGTCTGGTGTTGCTCCAGTTTCTGATTATTATTCCTGGTGGCAGAGGATATCAATTTGATTTTTATATAAGTGTCAACTAGGGGTCTGCACTGCCCAATCACACTACTAACATGTTTATTCAAATAAAGAAGTCACAATACCTTGGCTGTAGAAATTCACAACCCACAAACTGAAAATGAAAACTGGATGATAGCATAGTCCATCCTGGATACTTATCAAATTGCCAGTGAGAAAAAAGGGAAGAAAGGCAGAAGTCTGGTCAGGGCATCATGAGGCAGAAGACAGCCAGGATCAAGTCAAATAACATTCTGAACATTAGAACATTCAGCAATGTGTTATACCAATAGAAGCAAGCATCTTCAGAAACAAATCTAGGGTCAAGATTTATGTTACAGATGCTGTGCACAAGGGCAGATTCAACAAAATGGCATTTGTAAAGAATAGATAATTTTTGGAAGAGTACCAGTTTAAGGGAGGTAATGGTTTCTTAACGAAGGATAGAGCATTGCTTAGCAAACATAGTTTTTGACCAACTTTGCCAATATACGTATTGCATAGGGCAAGAGAAAAAAATAAAAGTAAAAGCCTAAAACTGAAGCATCAGAAGTAGGAGTTTCAATATCTAAAGAGCACTGGGACCAAAAAGTCATCCAGCACACTAGTGATAGAAGACATGTACCAGCTTGCTTCAAAGTACAGAAATACTTGTCTACCGACCGCTCGGAGTTATGACCAGCTCTATGACCAGTTGGTATTGCATGCTGTACAAGAACTTGGGCCATGGAAACAGGCAGTGAGGCATCTCAGTGCCAAGCATCTTGAGTCTCGTTCCCGCAGCCACTCAGTACACTAGCTTTCACAGTCTCCAAAACTACATATATACAAATTTGTACTTTATTGTGCACTCCCATAGTACAAGATGTCGGTGTAAAGGAAGATCCTGACTTCAGCTCCTGATAACCCTGCTGATAACTCGGATGATAACCCTGAACCAGTACTCTGAAGGATTCGATGACTAAAATGTTAATCTGAATGTCTCTCTTTATACTGTAATTTGAATTTTTTTTGGTACATCATTATTATACTGTACAGTAATTATAATTTTCTGTAGTAAGAGTGATGCAAATTAAAACAAAGTTATCAAGTTGGAATTTCCTTTAGACCTTTTCTTTGTTTAGAATAAAATGTTTTGAATGGTTGTTATAAATGCTTGAAGTATTGGTAAGGGGTGTTTCCTCGCTTAACGATGAATTCGCTTAGCGATGTGGTCTTAGGAATGATACTCTGTTGTTAGGTGAGGAGTGTCTGCATATCACTTTGATGAAATAAAAGTTTAATACAGTATCCAGAAGGTTAAGTGTTATTTATTATGAGTCCTTTAACCCCTTGACTGTCAAAACCCTTTGGTGTAAATAAAAAAAAAAAAAAAAAAATCTTATGAAATGATAGAGAATCTGTTCCTGATGGTAATGACACCAAAAGAATGAAATTTGATGGAAAACTTACAGAATTATGCTCTTGCGAAGTTAGCGACCTCGGCGATATTTACAAATCGGCAATTTCGCCCACTTTGAGCCCTTTTTTCGGCTAATTCCGTTGTTCCAGTTGACCAAACTCATAGCTATTTCTTTAGAGCTCCATTTGTTCTATCGATTGAGTACAAGAAACTGCCCATTCACTGATTTCAACTGCCCAATAACGTGGTCAGAAATTTGCAATATGACCAATTTCACGCAAATTAAAAAATACGCCAATTTCAAAATAGGGTCCAGAATGAATAATGCAGACAATCCTGGCTCTAAAATAACATTTTCTTTCTTCATCAGTCACATCTCCAGGCCCCTCTGATATTACTCTTGCTTTCTATTTTGAATTTTTATTCATACAAAAAATAGAAGATTTACTGTTATGCAGACTGCTGCAATATTGTAATAATTGTATAAATAATGTCAACCCATTCATGACTGCATATTAGAATGGCTAGTTGGACATTTATTGGACAATGACATCATGTGTTTACTTTTGAACATTGGCAAAAATCAAACATTTCCCCAACTTTGAGCTCCATTTCAAGGTTCTTATAGTTTTAACCAATCAAAATCACCTCCATTTCTATAATATGGTTGCCATTCTATCAAATGAGACAAAGAAAACGAGAATACAACCATAAATGCTATACGAAAATAAACCACAAATTCAGCAATTAAAAAAAAAAAAAAAAAAAAAAAACAACGGTTGGAGTTTTTTTCTCATTATGCACTGCATGCTGCAGGATTTTTTTTATGGTGCACACTGACCACACAGACCCATTCTCTTATATGTGGACCTACCAGCTTTCTCCTGCTTGATTTGAAGCCACTAAAGGGGGCTGTAGGGCAAATTTCCGCGCGCGCTCACCGAAAAATAAAAAAAATATGGAAATTGAGTTATATATACTGAAAAATAGCTCAACTCTTTGGCAACACAATGGTACCAGAATGAATGTTCTACGACGTTTCTACAAGAAATTATAGTCATTTATATCAGGTATGGTGACGGCGATGTTGGTACCGAGTCTGCTCACGGCCCATATATTTTTTGGAGTTGTTTCCTTGTTTTTTATCGCCTTTTCTTGCATTATTCTTTCTAATATAATAACTGACTATTTGGCATCATAAAACAGTAGGCGGGACTTATCCGCAGACTGAGCGACAACCGGAAACCAGATGGGAACGCTCGGCAGTGTTCCCGCGCCCGAGGTGCCAGCCAGGAATCGCCCATTATTATGCTTATATCAGCTTATATATCAACTCTACGGCTTATTTGTCTATCAGAATTGATCTAATATGATATAATAAACACTCTAAATAACATACAAACATGTTATATACTCTAGACTGAATAAAATAGGCCATAATATGGCCCAGAGATTATCGGGAATATTTCGATATAAAAGTGTAACTGGTCACCCTGTCGTCTCTGAGTAAGAGAAAACGGTGTTTTGAAGAGGATAACTGCACTAGAACATCAGTTTACTAAGAAATACACCCAAACAAACGCGATTTTCGTGATTTTTTTTTTTTTTTTGAGACGGGGGCCGGCCGGCGCTCTCGGCCGATATCTCGGAAGTAACTTATTCAACAATTGTTCAAAAATCTCCCTTTATTACTGAATTAAATGGAATATAATACTCACAAAAGTTGTAGAATAATGATTTCTCTTTTTTTCTGTGACCAAATTTTGGAAATATTCCAAATACTTTGGGAGTTATTTGGGAGTAAAGGGCAGATGTTTTTGCAATATTCCAGGAACTAACAAACTTTATTTTTTTTGTTAAATAAAGATACGTTCATTTAAAGAAAAGGAGTCACAGAAAATAAGAATAAGCATTGTTCTCTCGGCACCAAGTGTCCAAACAACCTTACGTAGTCCCATATAGGAGAAAAATTGAACACTATGGCATTTTCAGTAAATCAGTCATTTCTCAGTTGTTGTTTGAGGTATATTTTTGATAAATATTTTCAAGAAAGAGTGAAACGACTTTGTCTTGTGTACCAAAACTGGAGAAAATCGGACAGTAAACAACGGAGTTACAGATTTTGCCCGACGGCCCCCTAAAATTTTTGAGCATATATACGTCAAACACAGTGGCTCGTAAGACATATATACACGACCGAAACAGTCAAAGGGTTAAATAAAAAATGTAGTGAAGATAAAGCACATGTGGCTTCATTGGAGAAATAGGTTTAAAAGTGAAGAAAAAAATTTAACCCGAGAGTAGGCAGTTTGTAAAATTTTCATAATAGCAAAGTTGAAAGAATGAACTGCAAAAAGACTGAAATTCCAGTTGAGAAACAGTCGCAGGTGTCATGGGCATAGAGGGAGAGATAAGTAAGAAATTTTTCTTATATGACTGGGTACTGTAGAAAAAGTAATGAATATATATGCCACTTGATAATGGTAGAGAACAGACCAAAATGCCACCCAGTTTTTATTTCTAATTTCTAGGTTAGTTGTAAAAGACATACTGTACAGTACAAGCACTGAGATTTTCTTGATGCAGGCATGTACAAATTATTGCATTAGAACCAATGGGTGAAAAATAAAAAAAATTAATGGCTACCATATAGGTATCTCACCTAAGCTAAGTTTTTAAATTCTCTAGTCCCCCCACATACATACACACACAAAAAAAAATTGCACAACCATTTTCTCTAGACCATGTTATAACAAAAGTATCAACAATACCCACCTGTCTGTTGCCATAATTCTCTATTATATTTCACTGGAACATTTCTTTTCTTCTCAAATTCAAAGGAGGGGTCAACAGTTAATTCTTTGCCTGCTGCCTTCCTGAATGATTTTGTCCAGCGAACAGTGCGTGGATTCTTCTTCCTCTTGAATTTCTTGTGGCATTTCGGCCGGCAAAATTTGAAAACCTGAAGGAAAAAAAACAAAAATCAAATAAGCAAATGTTAACCAATTATGTGTTATGGTAATTATGGCAGATAAACATGTATGTAATATACAGTGAACCCTTGGTTATTGGCCAAAATCAGTTCCAGAAGGTTGGCCTAAAACCGAAATGGTCAAAAACCGAAATAATATTTCCCATAAGAATTAATGTAAATCCAATTACATGTATAGTGGAACCTCGGCTTACAAATTTACTCCGTTCCGTGACCTTGTTCATATCCTGAGTTGTTCGTATGCTGAGTCAATTTTCCTCATTTAAATTAATTGAAATGCAATTAATCCATTCCAGCCTCTCAGGAGGCATGACAAAATAATGCTACTATCAACTCTATTGCTTAGTTATCTATCACAATTCATCTAATATGACATAATAAACAATATTAATAACATAGAAACATGATATATACTCTAGAATGAATAAAATAGGCCATAATATGGCAAGTGATGGCGACACCGGCAGTGGCAGAGAGCATCCGCCATTTACTCTCCCACTCTAGTATCTTCCCAGTCTATAACCCCACACCTAGCTTGTGTTTATCTATGATTAGTGGTGAGGTTGTCACATATGTAAAACCCCACTGTGGTCAAGACAGATGTATATATAGGTGAAGACATGATCACTGTGGCCACAGTGGTGGTGGTGGTGGCGACGGCCACAGTGGTGGAAGCCGCAGCCACAGTGGTGGTGGTGGCGGCCAGCTGCCCCACTCTATGCTGCAGCCTTCGTTTCTCTAGCTTTTTTCATAGTTTCTAATTGCTTCTTGCTGATTGTACACAAACACTGTCCTTTTGGGTGAGGCATTGTGTAAGAAATTTGTACAATATAAGACAAAATTTTTGCATCCAAGAGTCTGCTGCAATCACTCAGAACGGCATACCTCCTTTTCCCTTTTGACTCTTGGTTGGCACTGAGATAGCCTTGGTCGTAGCAGCTGTACCTACAGCCACCCAGAGTGTTACCACTTTCTATTTTGAAGCATTTGACGTACGAGAAAAAAAAAATGACAACATTTTTATTTTTTATTATTATTAATATTATATTGTATTATTATTATTTTTTAGTACGTACATATTATTATCGTTATTACATACGTTTTTAAATTATTTTTTTTTAACAAGTGGGCCCGTCTCCCCCCAAGGCAGGGTGTTAAAAGAAAGAAAATCCCAAAAGAAAATACTTTCATCATCATTCAACACTTTCACCTCACTCACACATAATCACTGTTTTTGCAGAGGTGCTCAGAATACAACAGTTTAGAAGCATATACTGTACATATAAAGATACACAAAATATCCCCCCAAACTGGCCAATACCCCAAAACCCCCCCTTTAAGTGCAAGCATTATACATGTACTCCCCATTTCCAGGACTCAAGTCTGGCTATATAAAAATAACCAGTTTCCCTGAATCCCTTCACTAAATATTTCCCTGCTCACACTCCAACAGCTCGTCAGGTCCCAAATACCATTCGTCTCCATTCACTATCAAACACGCTCACGCCCCTCGCCCACAAAAACCTCCTTTACCGTTCCCTCCAACCTTTTCAAAGATGACCCCTACCCTGCCTTCCTTTCCCTACAGATTTATACGCTCTCCATGTCATTCTACTTTGATCCATTATCTGTAAATGACCAAACCACCTCAACAACCCCTCTTCAGTCCTCTGACTAATACTTTTATTAACTCCATACCTTCTCTTAACCCTTTGAGGGTCGACAGGTCCTCTCAGAAACTCGTTCTCAGGGTCGGCCAAATTTAAAAAAAAAAAAAAAATATTTTTTTTCTTTTTGAAAAAAGTTTTTTTTCTAACATTAAAAGGCTAAACAAAATTTTTTACCGTCAATACTTACCGAGATATGGAGGCATGAAGTTTGCCAAAATTTAACAACATCTGGTAACATCGACTGCCGTCACCCGGTATTTTTCTATTTACTTTATGTACTATTTTCAATTATTTTTCAATTTTTCTTTTTCTGAGTAACTTTTATGGCCTCTGAGGCCAACATGATCAGTATTTTGTAAGTTATTTCTTTTTCAATACTACACAATAAGGGCGTAAACTCTGTTGTCATTATTTTGTTTACAGAAAATATTTACACAAACAAACGATATGAAATGTTGGTTATTACTATTTTTCTATATTTTATATACACATATACAGTCACAGGGAATGTTTCTAGAAGTTCTGCAGCCTGTGGAACTCTTTGAAACATGGTGTCATGCACAGTGGTGTTTTACACTCCTCACACATAAAACGAGTGTCTGTGCGTTGTTGTGGGTTTTTTTTTTTGTACGTGCACAGACGTAACACCACTTCTGAGCCTTTTTCTTGAAAGCATTTAGCAGGCAGTTTTCCAGGAAGTGATCCCCATGTTTTCGGGACGAGCAGGCATTTGGGTTGATAATTTGGTGGGCAGTCAATTGCAGGTGTTGTTCCTTGGTACTTGAATACTATTTGTCTGATGACAGACAAACAGAATTCGCCGTACTGTGGTTTGTTTCTGGTCCTCATCTTATACATATTATAAGCATTGAGCATGGAAATGTCCAGAAGATGGGAAAAAGAGTTTGATGTACCACTTATAACTCTTGCGAACACAATCAGCAACCCAATCTGCTGTCACATTTGTCCATTGAACGCATATTGAAGGTGTAATCAATCACAGCTGCAGGTTTTAGAATGGGTTCATTGCTCTCTCTATGCTGCCTGCCACTGTGCCATTTCATTAGGGTGAACTGGGGACAACAGTGTGACATCTCGTTTGTCATGCCACCGAAATGCCATGATGTCAATTGGCAGCAAGGCCTGCACCTCACCTTTTACGAGTGCCAGTGTCAACCTGGGCATATGTTTCCGATTTGCACGCACTGTGCCACAACATTGTCATGTTCACTCTCAAAAAATCACTGAGTGAGGGGCTTGTGTACCAGTTATCTGTATAAAAATATATGCCCCTTCCCAAGGTATGGTTCTATCATTGTTCTAACCTTATCACCTGAGATGCCCAATAACTTCCTGGTATTTTGCAATGTATAACTTCCAGTGTACACAATAATATCAAATTTTACCAGACCACTGTAAAAATCACAAAGCACAAACAACTGTATCCCAAAGCGTTTCCTCTTGCTTGGTATGTACTGCTTGAAAGAAAGTTTTCCCTTTGAACAGAATCAAAAAATCGTCAATTACAAGCTTCCTGAAGGGGAAATAAAAATGCGTACTGAATTTCTCTTTCAGATACACAAACACATGCCTAATCTTTTTTAAACCTGTCATTTCTGTCAGGTCGGGTTTTGTCTGAGAAGTGAAGCATACGTAACTTTAGCACAAATCGATTCACTGGCATTATATCACTGAACCTGGGGTTGCAATCAGGCGGTCTGTTGCCAGTATGATTTCACTTTGTGCTTATACACATGGGGCCCATAAACATTATTGTGGCAAAGAAAAGATACATCTCAGCCACAGTTGTTCCTTCCACGGGTTTGTAGACGTGATTTTGGTGAAAGTATTGTGTTTTTCCCTGGTGTACTCGTAGTATGTGTTGCTTTCCATGACAATACTTTCCATCAGGGGTTCGTTTTAAAGAATAACTCGAAACATCCAGTTCAGTGGCATTGTTCCCAAGTGGGACAAGATGGCCATATTCCCCTTTGGCTGTCATCAAAAATGGTGGGAATTTGGAAAAAAATTGACAGCTTCCTGCCCAAACCAGGTGCGGTCTGCTGGTGGGTATGGACAATGACAGGTGGTTGTGGTTGTGGAGGTGGTGTGGTGGGTGGGTGGGGGATGGTGGCCTTTGTTGTAGATCAGCTGAGGCAGAGCGTGGGTGGCAGCATGGCCACTGCTGGTGCCTCACCGCCAGCAACCCCTACCAAACCCCGCACATTTTCCATCCACAATTGCAACAGTATCATCATCATTTTCACTGTTGTTCCTGTTGTCAGCCCCGGGATGTACTCCGAGATGCACTCCTTCCCCCTTGGAATAGCATTTTGGCACACTACCAGAGCGCATATATCGTGTAGATACTGGGCACTTCACTGGGGAATATTGCATATCACTACTGGAACTAGTTTGAAGAGCTTGTTAGTTCATATTCACTATCATATCATCACACATGCTCTCATCTGAGTCTGGGATTTGGGAAATAGAAGTTCCTCTTGGATTCTGGTACAACTGAACATGAACAAAACGGCCCCGCACCAGAGGTGGAAGGCTGAGGGTCGTCTGGGTTTTTTCCCCATATTACCGATATTATGGCCATTAGTTTCGGTCAAAACCTCACCAAAACCTTGAAATCATTTCACTGGCACTTCCCTCTGTATTAGAAAATGTCACTGGGGAACAAAAGTTTTCCCAATTCGCCCAGGAAATGAGGAGCTTGGAAATGGTATTTTATACCATTTATTTCCAGAGTGAGGAGCTTCTTACCACAAGGCATGGTGGACATTGTTTACTAACATGGCGTTCCCACAATGCACCATTGGGTCCCCGATTTTTTTTCTACCATGCACCCCCGACCAACAGACCATTCTCTCACATCTAGGCCTACCAGCCTTTTCCCGCGAGATTTGACGGCGCTAGATTTTTTGGTACTAGTACGTCAAAAAAAAACCTGCGCGTAAGCCGCACTAGTACGTCCGAAAAACCCTCAAGGGTTAATTTCCACACTCCCAATTTTCTGCCCTAATATTTACACCACACATTGCCCTTAGACAAGAAATCTCCACTGCTCCAACCCCCTTTCGCTGCAACATTTACAAACCAAGCTTCACCACCCATATAAGAGTGTTGGTATATGTGGAGACAAAAAATGTTATCTATGGAGGCAGAGAAGGGAATGTAAACAAACGGGTGCCGCGCCGTATTTTAAAGACCACTTGCTGTATAGAAAGTTCTGGTCATAATTTGAGATCACAGTATTGCGGAATGCGTAAGGCGAAACGCCAAAAAGCGGGG